AGGGCCTCAGCAGAATCGTAGTCATCAGAGGCTACGCTTGCTTCTCTTGATTCTTCTGGCTCTTCTTGGTACTTATTCTTCCTGTCTGGGCAGTTCCTCTTGAAATGACCATCCTTGTGACAATGATAGCACTTGAAAGATCCCCTTGATAACTGATTCCTGTCATCTTTCCTTTACCTTGATCTGTACTGACCATTTCTTGAATCTTTCCTGTCTGATCTTTCTCTGACAATAAGACTGTCTCCGCTGACTTTCATGTCCCTGTCATGCTTCCTCTGAAGTTCTTTGGCTCTAATCAGAGATTGAACCTCCTCCAGAGTAATAGTCTGCACCCTTCCATAGAGCATCGCATCCATGAAATGCTCGTAGCTCTTAGGAATAGAGTTTAGCAACAGTAGTGCCTTGTCCTCATCGTCCATCTTGACGTCGATGTTCTCGAGGTCTTCGATGATCTTGTTGAACTCGTCGATCTGCTCTGAGACAGATTTGTCTTCATGCATTTTGAAGGAGTATAGACGTTGTTTCAGAAAGAGTCTATTAGCCAGAGACTTTGTCAGGTAGAGTACCTCGAGTTTGGCCCAAAGTGCTTGAGCCGTTGTCTCTCTCGACACCTTCCTCAGAACTTTGTCGCCCAAGCTCAGGATTATCAAACTGTGGGCCTTATCCAGTATGTCGATCTTCTCCTTCTCGGTCATGTCGGTCGGCAATGTCGCCGACCCTTGCAAGGCTTCTGCAATACCGTGCTGAACCAATAGAGCTCTCATATTTACTCTCCATAGGCCGAAGTTGTTCTTCCCGTTGAATTTATCAATGTCGAATTTGACAGAACTCATTGTCGTGGCTAAAATTTCTTCTAATAAATTCTACCTGCTGCCCTTCCAAGAAATATGTTGAAATCACCAAAATGTTGTACTATTGTATAGCAACCAAAAGTTTTCAGCCTAAACCTACATTTTAACGTCTTGTTGTCCAAGAAATTCTCACCAAATTTCTTACCTTCTCCCCGTGAACTCCACTGCCTTCACCAACCAAACGAAGTGTTCTGATCCCTTCTGGCAGAGATCACACATGTTCACCGGAGAAAACTTCTTGTTCTCTGCTCGCGCCTCCTTCTCGCAAGCGCTCCTCTGCGTCTAGCGGAACAAATCAAGAATTCCTCCTCTATCTCTCGCACGAGAGTAACTGCCTCTCCAGAGCCGTCGCGTCTCGCCAAACTGCTCAGGTCCTCCTGCTTCGCGAACTCCCGAACAGGGAACTCCCCAAACCCTTATCTGTGCAATTTTCGTCTCTTCCCTCTGGTCGAGCTGCTCGCAAGACTGAACTCCTGCTCCGAAATCCTCTGCTGGCAGCTTTGTCGCAAATTTTCGGCCTCCTCCTCCGTCTCGCCGAACCGCACAACCTGCGGTGCAAATCCACTCGATCAAAGCTTTCACTGCTCACCAAATCTGTCGCGATTCGGCTGCTTGCGACGATATCTGCTTGCTCCTCTGTTCGTGAATGTCGAACTCCTCTTCTTCGTTGTTGGCCGCGAACACCTTTACGCGGACACCTCTAGCCAAGAAGTATGGATCTTCCCACAGACGGCGTCAATTGTTGTGAGATATGTATTTCCTGACATAGAAATGATACGAAAAGAACACAAGCAAACACAGATCGTTTACGTGGTTCGATCCAACTGGATCTACGTCCACGGGAGGGAATCAATCAAATAGTTTACTATGGCAAAAGAAATGGAGAATACATAGCTTATACATAGAGATGAACCCTCATCTTTCTTCTATGACCTCCCTCTCAAGCGACACCTTGATACAAGACCTCGAGATGCTCTCCTCCTCTCTAGCTCTCTAGTTATTCTCTCCTCTTTCGTGGTAGCTTAAGATCTCTTCCCTTTACTCTCCTAAGTCTCACACCTTCTCTATTTATAGAAACAAGAGAATGCTAGGTGGGAGGTAGGTGGGAGGTAGGTGGGCGGTAGGTGAGCGATACCACAATACAAAAGTGTTCTTTTACCTTAGTTCATTAATTGGGGATCAAAATAACAATAACGAGTTCGCCATCGTCTATATTCAATAGATGCCAAGGAGAGGCGGTAAGATCAAAACCAAGCTCGTCTGCTTTTGTATTATTTTTTGCTAGACCAAAATAATTCAAGCAAGATCCAGCTCCACACACCTGAGATCCGGTCCCAAATACTAGTAGACTTTGAAATAGGGTACATAGTTTCCACCAACCTTCTCGTCATATCAGCTCTCCTGATTGCATTGTTCTATTAGAAAAATAAAATGAATCCACGTTGTAAGCACTGCTGAAATGAGTTTAATTTTATCAAAAGTTGACATTACAGAACTACGAATGGTCACAACAGCTACAACAAAATCTATTTGTCACAGCAAAAAGGAGCTTAGTCGATTAGAACAAGAAAGGTTTCAAATTAGTAACAAACACAAAGCAGTGTTGGTTGACCCTTCAAAAAAGAAATTCTTGAGACCAGAAAATAAAGTTTATTCGTGAATCTCTGCATTAAAGTCATCTCGAGATATATATATATATATATATATATATATATCTGTGTGTGTGTGTGTGTGTATAACTGCATTGGACAAACAAACGTGAGAAACAGAATATGTTCAATTTATCACTTCTATGGAAAAGCTCAATTTATACACTTTCAGCTATGTGCGCAGAGGTAGTTTTTGTATTTATATTTAAAAAAACTAGTTTTTTAATAAGTCTCTCTCTATCTCTCTCTATGTGTGTGTGTGCAATCACAAAATTGGATAGTCTAAGGGTCTCTTTGGGGCAACTGCAGCTTATTTAAAAGCTGTCGCGCAGAAGCTGCTACAGATAAGTTAGATGTTTGTTTGTTTTTTGCAGTTTTAAAATAGCTATTCTGCAGTTGTTTATGGAGGAAATCGTTCTGCCCTTATACTCTACAACTGTTTTCAACGGAATTGATTATGACAGCACATTAGATGCTTGAAAGTAAATGTACAGTTCAAACATTACAAAATAAAAATAAACATCTCACTAAATAGTGAAAAACACGACTATCAAAATTAAAAAAAAAAATACTACTAAAATTACAATTAAAAATATGTTAATATTATTTTTAAAATGCAACTAGTGTATGTCACGAGATAATCCGTCCTCCAGGGAACTCTCCACACCCGATCACTCTACAGTGGAATCCTCCAACTCATCTGCCCACCAAAAGAGATCACAATTTTCTGTTCTTCTCCTTAAACACCTATAAAATTGTCTCCCATAGTGATATAGTTGTCGCAAAGTAAACAGGGAACATTGTAGTCCGCAGTAGCAGTACAATGCTTTGAAGACACTGGAAATCCTCAGGATTATTTTTCCTGAAGGCTCAAAAACATAAAGCACATAGTATAAGTTATCAATTAAAATTTTATGCAGCTGTGAGGTCTCAGAGAACATAGTATATAAATCAACGAATTTGTCACTACAATAAGACAATAAATCTTATAAAAAAGAGTTCTTGGTTGTCTTAACTCACGTAATAACGAGCTCGTATGTCACATATGCATATCACCAAACAAGACCGTCCAGATGAACCTAAAAAACCATAACTCTGAAAAAAGGAGTGGAACTTGGCTACATTAATTGGGATCTCATATGTGACAAGAACCAATAGTGACATATAGGTCATCCAAAAGAACCCTTGAGGTCGAATGCCTCATCAAAGACCTCCAAAACCCAAAAAAAAAAAACATGCAATATTTAGATTACATTTATTACCCACGGTTACCTCATTGGTCATCCAAGTGGGAAATAATACATGCATAAGAAAAAATATATATACAAGACTTGTATAAAATATTGATATAATGAAAATCCAAGTGGGAAAGAATACATGCATAAGAAAAAGAAATATAAATGACTTGTATAAAATACTAATACAATAAACAATAAATATTTTTAACACCCATTACAAATTAAATAATAACAAAAAATATATGTTCCCTTCATTCAGCCTCTAACTAAGGCATCTGTAATTCGTTCTCTCAACTTTATCATCTCACTTGCACCTTCCCAATCTTGAGTGCAAGTCTCGGGCATATCAATTTTGGCCTGTGACAAATATTGTCCAAGACGAAATTCACATGTCTCAGCATGCTGAGACATGTGAATGATCTTCATCAGTCTTCTTGAAGTCTATGTGGTTGCGAGAAGGAATCACCTATTTGTTCGGCATCCAAGTTTTCAGCGATGCCACCATATCAAGCCTCACCAGGAGCACATGCATTATTGAAAACTTGATAAAAGCAGTGGAAGTTTCATAAATGTCCACCTTCAATCTCTCTGCTCACTATTCCTCTGAAGCATCAATTGTTCACTTCATCGGATCACAACCCAAGCCAGTGGATCCTTGTTTCAATTCATTTCAGATTTTACAATCCTTTTTAAGTAGATCTCATTTGTTTTTTTAATTGCATCTTATCAATTCTAGTTCTATGTGATAATGATTTTGAACTTGGATAGAACCAATCAAATAGCAGAGCCACAATTGAATCGGTCGAACCTATAGGTCCAGTTTTTAAAATATAGGTTAGTACTTATTAGCTTGTTCAACACTTATGATGTTGTAATGAAGCACCCTTCAACTACTTTTTGCCCCATAAATAACTACAATCTCATGGAATAAGCAATATATGCAACGATGCCATGATAATAGTGACAGGTGAAAATAAGACTAATTAGATAATGATGGGCATAGCTTGTTAACAAGATGGTGTTTACACATCAGCTTTTATATTACATACATTCAAAAATTTTAAATTTTAAATTTTAAATTTACATACATACCACAAAAATTTTATGTATTTACATATCTAAAACCCAAAGTTTGGTATTTACACTTAAAGGTGTCATAAACCTATGAATAAAATGTGTATTTTACTTCTAAAAAGATGGTGATTGTGGTACTTTTGATGTGATGTTAAAGATTCAAGTGGTATTTATGTAAATATGAATGTTTAGGCGTTAGAATGTAAATTCATAAGAATCGTGTGGAATGTATGTAAATGTAATCAATGCAAATGGCACAATATAGACACATATTTCAGTAAAAACAAATTCAAATTTTGCTTTTATGACTGCAGGCAATGGAACTAAAGCAAAAGAAAGTGCGCATTCAGTAATACATGGAACATGACAAACAAATATTGAAAAATCCTGTCAAATTGGAGCAGCAATCATACCTTTCTAGACTGGTAGATGAAACGAGAAGCTGATAACATGGCTATACTTCACAATTAATATATATTCAGATCACCACACAAACTTATGTAAATATCTTTATTTGTAATTGCCTGTCATTTTGACAAAGATAAATACGTTTCAGTCCGATGCCACAAAGGATCCATACTTTTACAGCGATGCTTCGAGAATACCAATTAATCATCTTATCAGCACGGAAACAGCATTAAAAAACTGATTTTCAATGACTTCATGAACAGGGAAAAAAAACGGTGAAGAGAAACAAATTTTTAAATGGGCTTGGCTGATCGTCAGAAGGCATAATTCTCAGAGAAAGAAAAGTAGGCTGTTTAGTAGCAGGATTTGAGCAGGGTTTAACGTAAATTCTGCCAGACAGCAAAATAGCTAGCTTTAAATCCTACAGAGTTTTAGTATATCCGGTTGGAAGGAGGATTTACGGGACTTAAAACAAGCTAAAAGCTCGCGAAGGAGGTGGAAGGAAAGACAATGGTTGCCTTCTCGCCTCTTTTGATCGATTGTTTCGGGCAGGAGCGGAGACCGCAATCCCGTCGTTGCCTTCCCAGCTAGCCCTAGTCACGACTTTCGCAAGGTGACGGCGCTGGTGAAATCGCCCTCGGCAGTAAAGCAGGATAGCCGACGCCTCCCTAGCCGTAAAAATTATTCCATACGTACATGCATGCGGTCCCCTTCTTTTTTATTTATTTTTTTTATTTTTATTTTTATTTTATTTTTTTTTTTGCGGCGGTAGAGATCGGATGAATGCGGTGTCCGTGCGGAATAATTTCTCTTTTAGCTGATAGTGATCGCTTCGCTGAGGGCTCACTCCACGAAAATTATTTCATACGGATGCATGTGATGTCTGATCTACACCGTCGATCATCGAGCTTCATCTTTGATCAAAAATTAAAAAAAAAACAAAATGTTAAAAATAAGGCCCACCGAAATACATCTTTGTGTGATCGATAGTATAGATCGGACACCGCATGCATCTCTGCATGTAGTGTCCGTATCGAATAATTTTTCAAATCCACATGGGAGGAATTATTCCATACGCAGCGCTTGCACAGCTACTGAGCACATTAATATGCCGCTCACATCAGTTTATAGCAGTAAAACTGCCTGTGTGTTAATAAGTATTGCTAGAGTTATGGAGGTCATTGGTGTGTTATTATGAGTTTATTATGAAGTATAATCGAGGAGATTATTGTGAGGTTATTGAGAGTATAACAGCAGAGGTTATTAAAAGTTTATTGAGGGATTATTGCGGCTTTATTAGAATTAATGCACTAATGACCCCAGTAACCTCCAATCACCCTCTCAATATATCTACGCAATTTCACTTCAATAATCTCCGCTGGAGGTGGACACGATATAGCACACATGATGACATATTATTGGAGCACGGAGTTGTGCGTAGGTGCTCCGTATATAATAACTTCTTTATGGGGTGTTTGATTAACGTTAAATAATAAGCGCAAAATCGTTCCTTCCACCTATTCACCAATTTAATTCTTCAGTTCAGGGTTTAGGAATAACTACATAGAGGGGACCCAAAACATTGCTATTTACGGATCATGCAACATTTTCATTTTTTGAACTATAAAATTGATGTATTGACACGTGCCACCATCAAACCATTATGAATTTGATAAAAATGAAAAATATGGGATGGAGTTTTATCTTGATCTTTTATATTTGAATGAGAATTTGAAAAATGGATGAAAGGTGTTTCATTTGTAAATAGCAAATATTTTGTGTGTCATGTAATCACCTACATTTTAATACTATGGGGGTGCTTAGCTAAGCCTGAGATTTCACTTAAATAGGATTAAGTAAATCTTGTAAATCTAAATTTATCAAATCTAGAAAACTTAAATCCAGAAAAATGTTTGATTTGAATAAGGTTAAATCTAATTAAATCTCCTTAAAAGTGTTTGGCGACGAGAGAAGCGACAACTCGTGTATCCTCTCTTAAATCCGTTAAATTCATCTAATAATTGGATTTAATAAATCCAAATTATCTTTAAAATAGAGAAAAATTTGGATTTAGATAGGGGGGATTTAACTCTATTTTTCTGTGTTAGGCCGATTTAAGTCAATATTTAAGGTAAATCTATTTCTAAATCATGTACCAAAAGAGCGATTATTGCGTGCAGAGAGTGCACGCAGAGCTGCGCAGACCGCGACTGTATGACTGTGGGTCTCACTGTCATACAGCCATGATGCGCGGCTGTGACGTACCAAACACCTCGTATGATTATAGATTATGCAGATTTTTCTTGTGATGCAAGTCACCGGTTTTTATTATTATTATTTTTAACCAAAGTGGTATTGGGTTCAAGATATTGCATATGATGGAAATGAAATATTGATTTAATATATGCAAAAATCTATTGCATGTGTTGTTAAGTGTGCTACCAGCTAACTATTCCCTTAAATTTACTTGAATTAGATCTATTTCTTAAGAAAAATGTCTGGCAAAGTTTTTTTAATAATTAGCATGACTAAAAGGAGTAAATTAAATTAAATTAAATTAATCTTAATAAGTGTATTATTAATTCACAATATTAAATTAAAATTTGAATCATAAAATCTTGTGAATGAAGTTGCGGTTGTTTCACAAGATTTAACATCTCATTTGCCAAATAGTTTTCAAGATTTAGTAAATGTTGATTCTTTGAATTTACTACATCCTACTTGAGCTAAGAAAAAAAAATATCTTGAAACATGAAATCATTATCAACAACAAAAAAATATACAAGTTTATATATTATTTCGCTCCTAAATCTCGTGCAAATTTTTTTACTTAGATCGACGTTAGAGGCAAATAAACAAATCAAGAATTAGCAAGTTAGAGAAAAGTGAGACAATGTAGTAATTTTGAGAATTGCACATGGGATGAAGATGTTAGAGGAGTTAATATTTAGTGTGGAAATAAAAAAAAGAAGATACTTGAGTGTTATTTGAGTTGACGATAATATGGAGTAAGTGTTGACATTAGTTACGAATAAATGTGTGAGATTGTGGCACGGTAGAGCTGCCTAGAGATGTCTCAAAAAAAATTTTTTCTTGAGTCATAGCTGCGGTCATTGAGCATTATATGTAAAAAGTCAGATGAATATGAATTGACCAGTTTGCAAAATATACTTACTACCAAATTTTGTTGAGAAACTAATAGTTTTTGGATCAATCTTTTTAATTTATTTTATTTATGATTAATAATAAAGCAAAAAAGTTCTAGGTAAGGATAATACATAGCCAAATCAAAGTTTTAAATTGGACAGGCCAAAAAAGTAATTCACAAAAATTAAATAATAAGCTACGATCGTAAAGTTCTATAAGAAATAAGAGAGATCATCAAAATAAGAAGCTTAAAATCGTACAAAAATGATATCTTAAAATATGAAATCATCATCAACAAAAATAAAAGGTACAAATTCCTTTATTAATGCAAGCCAATTAATCTAGAATTATTGTGTAGAAAAAGAGAGAGAGTTTCAAAATTTTGATCATATTTTATGGGATGAAGTAGATTAAACAATTGTTATCATTATGGAAACATAGAAGGAGAGACACTCGTGCTATTGGAGTCGACAGTGATATGGTAGAGAAGGTGTGGCCACTAATTGTAAATGGAAGTGGCATGAGAGATAAAAAATTTGATAAGCATGCTTTAATATAAATATAAATAAATATATATATATATATATATGACCTAGGATAATTCACAAAATATGCATAATATAGAATTATGTGTAAGATCTAAGTGCAATCAGATCATTTTTTTAGTTTATTTTATTTAGGCTTTAATATTAGGAAAAAAATTTTATCTGAGGGCAAAATAAAATATGAGGCCAAAACTTTGATATTTCTTATAACATTAAGCTAAATAATTATTTTGAAGTTGACCATTTAAAAAAAAGTTCAAAATATTTGTATACTAGAATATGCAAAAGAGACTATCAAACTATGAATGCACAAAACTCTAAAAATTTGTAACATTGAAATACAAATGTATTATCAACAATAAAAAAAGGAAAAACTATCTTCATTAATTCATTCCAAAACCTTCCATAAGATATCTCCATTGAGAGGCGGCATTGAAGCAAGCAACCAAATCAAGAATTAGTGTATAAGAAAAGAGGGAGATACCTCAAAAAAATGAGTATTGTATATGCTATGGAAGAGATGAAAGAGTTACCCATTCAAAGTAAAAATGGGGAAGGGGAGAAGCTCATGTGCTATTGGAGAGATGAGAATTATAACTCATTTTATCTTAGTTTAAGGATTAATTTTATTTTCAAGTTAGATTTATTTTTTTTTAATTTTAAATAAGACTTAATCTATTTTTATTATTATATCTAGCTTTGGTTTTATATTAATTTAAAGATTGATTTATTTTTTAGATTTATTTTGATTTGCACTGCTTAATAAATTTAAATTGTTTAAGTTGAACGTTTTGAACGATATATGATATTTCAAAATAATTTCAAACTACATTAATACAACAATGAATGTATGAGAGTAGAAGTTCTAAATTTTGAACAATGCAAGTCTATCTTCTTCTACATGGTCGAATGACGTCTGATCTAAGAGTATATTTTGATGGTAGTCAAAGTGTTCTTTCATACAATCAATGTCCATCTTCATCTTCTATCCCTTCTCCAGTTGATGTGACAACTGGTGTCTATTATCATATCAAGTACTCCCACTTATGGTGACAGGGGCCTATAGATTGAAGACTCACTAAAATCATGTCCTATATGAAATTACAATGAAGTGGACACCCTCAAAAAGGGTTTAATGTAGAGCATGAGATGTACCCTCATTTGATGCTGAATGTTATACACATGTTGAGGAGCTATAATAAGCATGCTTGTGTGATACTTCAACGACGGATCTCCGCATAGTGTTATAAAATTTTTCTTCCAATCAAAGTGATAATTTTCTATCACAATAGATAAAATATATATATATAGTTGAACAACAAATTTGATTATATATATATACCACAAAATATTATAGATTTACAAATCTAACCCCTATAATTTGATATTTACATCTATAAAATTTGTCATAAAATTATGCATGAAAAGGTATATTTTAAAAATAGTAAAACGTAAATTACACAAGAATTATAAGTATGTATGTAAATGAGACAAAATATGTGAACAGTGAAGATTAAATCAGGATAGAGCACATATATTACATAAGACAGGAAGCATATTTACAGATTAACCAAGTTTCCAAGGTTTCGGTGGCTTGCAAACTGTGAGGAAGATCAGTGCTTACAACAGCACTCATTCATACTACGAAATATGTTTCTTCACATGCAACACGCAAGTCTTCCAAACCTTATAACCAAACAAACTAAAACTTAACCACTATGTACAAGTTGTTACTCCAGCCATAATTCTTATCGGCCACAAATAACATTTTACGATGGAAAGAGTTCTCCCACGCCGGGAACTATTTACAAGCTTCAGAGCAGACCTACTCAGGTCTGATGTTCACCAGATTGGGCAGTGCAGACAGATGAAGTTTCTTTAATTCTATTGCCGTAACTCTGCAAGACTCCAGAGAGAGTGACCTCAGATTCTTTAGGGGCTTCAGGTAGTGAAGTCCAGCATTTGTTATGTGGGAGTTGGAGACGTTAAGCGAAACCAATGCAGTCAATCCTGTGTTGATGAACTTTAATCAGGATGAAAAATATGATGGTTGATGATAATAAATTATAAATAAGTGATTTAGTTGAGAGAGGAACCTGAAATGTATTCCAGCGACCTATCGGTGAGGCTAAAGTTTTGGGACAAATTTAATAAAGTCAAGGATGTGAGGTCTTTGATGTTCTTCACACCAACATCAGAAATCGACCCTCCGCACAGCTCAAGAGAGCGAAGGTTCTTGAAATCTGGTTAATTCATGAGAGAGTTTAATATGGTAAAATTGTTTTGATAAAACGGAGCAGGACCCAACATGGTTGCCAGTCTATATTTGCGTACTCGTTACAGAGGCAAAAAGCTCAAGCTGAAAAAATTGTTGATGTAACGTATATCATTTAAAACTAGGGACATTTACGTACATACCACACAATTTTTATATATTAAAATATCTAACACCTAAACTTTGATATTTACATGCATATAATATCACATCAAAAATACCACTACTACTAATATTTTATACGTGAAATACATATTTTCATGCATAGATTTATAACAACAAAGCGGTATTAATGTAAATATCATTCTATAGGTATTAGATATGTAAATACATAAGAATTGTGTGGTATGTGTGTAAATTCCCCTTCCTTAAAACTACAAAGCTTAGATAGCCCCAGTTCATGCAGCTGGACCCATCCTAAGAAGGAAAATGCTGGCAAGGGGGTAGGAAACACTCATAAGCACCCTTTGATCAGTAAAACAGAATTTCTAAATGCAATAATCCATCAAAAGTTCCAGTTTAATGGGGGAAAGGAAAGGATCCATCAATATTGATGATGCGGCACGTAAAGAAACTTAGAAAGAAAGAGATTGAGAAGATTCCATGAAAGAACAGGAGATCGGCTTAACCTACTTCTTAAGCACTCTGTTCCAGAATCTGTAATACGAGCACCAAAAAGATCCAGATGCGTCAATCCAGTAAGGCCTGTAAAAAAACATTGAAAGAACCATCCGATGCATGGCTCGACTTGAGTACAAATAATGCAAAACAAAATATATCGCTTCCAGTAACATTAAAAACATGTAGAGCGCACAAGAAACAATATGAATATGCACAAAGTTCCATGTTTTCAAAGAAGATTCAGATTTATGCAAATAAAAGTGAAAGAAAACAAAAAATGAGGTAATTGTATGGATAACATTGAAAGAACCATACGATGCATGGCTCAACTTGAGTACAAGTAATGCAAAACAAAATATATCGCTTCCAATAACATTAAAAACATGTAGAGCGCACAAGAAACAATATGAATATGCACAAAGTTCATGTTTTCAAAGAAGATTCAGATTTATGCAAATAAAAGTGAAAGAAAACAAAAAAATGAGGTAATTGTATGGAAATTAGAATAGTTCATCGAATAGATTGTCCAAAGTTTCGGGATTCATTAACAGCAAGTCAGAAATCAGAATATATATAATTAAATTTAGGCGTCATTAAGACACTTCCATTACCACAACTTCATATCAGAAAATACATCCACCCACAGCTCCATTTTATGTGATAGTTCAATCGTGTAACATATGATACAAAGATACAAAGATCAAAATAAAATTGAAATTTTAGCTAAAATCAAAGATCGCTTGAAGATTGAATTAATTTTTGGCATTGACTGAGCCACACAAAGCGAACCAAGAGACAAAATTTTAGCCCAGTCCAATCATTGAGCTGATTATCAGCTGGACTTGGATCAGTTCAAATCAGTTCAGAATATAAAAAATTATATGTTTTTTTTTTAATTTAATAAATGCATATGTGTATGCAAGTATATGGATATTATAAAAATGCATGAATGTGAATTAAAATTTTTTAAATTTTAAAAAGGAAAATGAATGATTTCAAGTAGGCTAGATTAAATTTTAAGTCGGCTCAAAATAGAACAACTTTAATGCAAAAGCCAATTTTGAGCCTGTTAATGTAAGTTGGGTCTGATTTCAACCTAACAATAAATCAACTCAAAATCAAATCATTCTCATCCCTAGGCCCAACAATATTTGTTGCTTACATGTGGGCTGCGGTGAGCTTGACTTATGTTATATAATCGTATTTAAGTGCCTGGAAAACACTTCAAATCAATATGGTGCGGTTCTATGTGATGACAACAGAATTTTAATGCTCAAAACAGCGTTGAGTCAAATGAATGCTTACTCATCCCTAATTCGTCACATTTCGATGCTCAAATCATAAATTCTAATGATTGGCTATCAATAATCAAATCCTTAAAAAGAAGCAATTTCAACTTCCACTCCAATGCCTCGTTCATATTATCAGTCATTACCAAACAGATAATCCACAAACTGAAGTTCACCAGCAAATTTCAACATGATTTTGGATTAACAATGTAATTAGTATTCAGATAACAATTTTGTACATAAAAGAACACTAAGATTTTCAGTGAGTATTAACAGATTCAATCCCTGCAAGCATTGTATGCAACCATGATACTAAATTACTAATACGAGTGATGGAACTATACAAATTCATCTAGTAATTGTAACTTGATTTTGGTCCTATGCAAAGAAAGTCTAGTGCAGAATTCATAACCGTTTCTATGGCAACTCCAACAAAAACAACTGCCCAGGTCGTACACTTAACAGGAAGTAAATGGCAGATGTAAGCTTCTAAATAAATAAATAAATAAATATATATATATATATATA